CACGGGATGTCTAGTATGACTGACAGCAATATCACTTCCAGGCGGCATAATACCGAATACCAGGAAACTGGTTGATTGCGGTTGTCCAATTTCCACTGTGTATTGTTTAAATCAAATGCTATGTTCTAGCGGTAGAGCATACGCGGACAGACGTGGTCGAAGCCACTATACGCCTTATGTATGAGGCACCAATGATGATTACTCACCGCCTTAGATTCTCTCCGCGTAGTCGTAAAAATCTCGGATACAGACGAATTCATCAGTTTCATTCAGGAAATGCCCCTTTAGGCAACCTTGTTCCGCCATGGCACCTCGTCTACCGGGTCGACTATTACAGCCTCCTCCTTTTCTTTGGGCTTCGCAATCAATAAATCGCAGCAATGTCACGATCCGGCCGTTCGGCATCAGGTCGTTAAACCCTCCGAAAACCTCCCGGTTCAATGTCGGGTCTGATCTCCCAGTGCTCAAGTCGACGCCAACAGCAGCCCTAGAACGCAAAGCAGACACACTGCCCCCCAGAACTGGAGCCATCGCTATCAAGAAAGGGATGACTGCCCTCTATGATGCAGAGACAGGGAAGCGAATCGCGTGCACCGTCCTTCAGCTGGACCGAGTGGAAGTTATCTCGCATAAGACACGACAGCAGCACGGTTACTTTGCTGTCCAAGTTGGTTCTGGTTGGAAACACCCTAGCAATCTCACCAAGTCACTACTAGGGCACTTCTCTGCTAATGGTATCTCCCCGAAACGGCACATCTTTGAGTTTCGAGTGCGGGATGAAAATGGCCTCCCACCTGTTGGTCAGGCAATCAATGCGGACTGGTTCCAGGAAGGTCAATATGTTGATGCTCGGTCAAACACAAAGGGAAAGGGATTTGCTGGTGTGATGAAAAGACATGGGTTTGGTGGTCAAGACCGAAGCCATGGTGTCAGTTTAACACATCGCTCTCTTGGTTCTGCGGGTCCCAGTCAAGGTGGTGGATCTAGAGTGTATCCTGGGAAAAAGATGGCAGGAAATATGGGTAATGAGCAGAATACAGTACAGAACCTCAAAATTCTCAAAGTTGACTCGCAGAATGGGATTGTTGTTGTCAATGGTAAGATTTCTCTACTCCTTGGCGCATTGGGCTATGCTAATTCGGGTATTTCCTACCAGGCGCTGTTAGTGGGCCGAAAGGCTGCATCGTCAGGATTCAAGATGCCATCAAGAAACCATGGCCCGAAGTCGTATCTCCCTCTGAACCAGCTCCATAACCTACTAGATGGTTGTTTTGCTTCTGAGAATGTACTATTACAATATATTGTTTACAAAGCGGCGTCTGTATATGATACATAAATGATATCCTTTTATCGTTCTCTCTCCTCCCATTTCTTTTCCATTGGTGGAATTTCCCTCAGTTCTGTCTCTGCGGCCTTTATGTACTCTGAAGTACCGTTGCTCCGTACCAAAATGGAGTGAAGGAGCCAAAAAGTGCCATAGCCCCGACGCTTACATGCCTAGGTTAGTGCACGGAAAGCTTCAAGATGTACAAGGATGAAAGTGCTGCACGATGCCATGCATAAGTAGGGATGCAGCTTCCAGGGAAACTTGACGGTAATTAGTCGTGTTGACGAAACGGGTCACTGGCGCTGTCAAGGAGCGGAACGACCGTGCCATCCTCCGTCTCCAGACTCCATTCCTCAGTCCGAAACTGGAACAAACCCGTTAGAAGAGAACTTTCGGACAAAGAAGGGGAAAGTGTGTTTGTTTATAACGAACATAGCTCATTCGGTCTGGCCTAATGCTGCGGAACCTCATTATACCCTGCGACTTTGTTCCTTTAACCCTGAAGGATATGTCGATACGTCCATGTAGCTGATTCATTTCCCCACTGATCCATGGTATCTTTTGAGCAAAGTAAATCTCATCGCCCAGGATTTCGCGAGCACGCGGAGAGGTGCGGAGAGCATAGAGGGTACTGCTGACCACGCTTGAAGACGACTTCTGATAGTTGAAAATCCCTAGCATCGCAGCTCCGACAGCGATAGCAAATATTGGCAAGGTCCGCATCCACCGTCGGTCCTTATTCACAGAAGGCAGTTCGCGGTCTGCCCGTCGTTCCATCAAAGGGCCTGAGTTGGCGTGCGGGGCGGGAATGAGATTGCGACGAAGAAAAGTCCGGCCAGGAGAGAACGCGACTCGCACAACGCCAATGCGCCGTTGCGCAAAATGCAGAGCCATTACTTGGTAAAAGCAAATCCAGATGGCTAGCTAGATGATATGATGCAAAGGCGAGCTTGGTCATATATCAATTGCATGGGCACGACGATAGTAGATATGTTAGCAACTTAGCGGTTCCTTTCGAGACAGATGTGGCTTGTGGAGCGGAGAGGGACAACCAAACAAGACAAACTGTGGAGGTAGAAATGGTTACGGACGACCCAGCAATATAGCGGATAAATGTAACGTCATCTTCTAGTATACACACAACTCAACCGTGCAACTTAAGAGGTACAACACCAGCCTGCACCCATGGCAGCTGCACGACTGCGCAAGGCATTTCATTACCCTGACGATTCAGGTGATAATGAGCATGAACGCGAAGAGCTAGACGAGGAGGGTGTGTTATATGGATATGCCAGGCTCAATACAATCTTTCACTAACAATTTTGCAGAGCAGGAGTTAGTAATAAACCGCTTGCGAGTACAAAATGATAAGCACAATGCAGAATTTACTGTAAATATCTCTCTTCAGAAGTTGTCACTGAGCATCGCTAAACATGAAACTCAAACTCGGTACCATCTATTAAATAGGTCACCTTCACTGCCATCCCACTATTATCAGTCTCAGTATTCATTCCATCAGTGATTAAGCAGGGCGCAAGCTTACAGGAGCGTTTCCTCACATGCTTGGGCATTCTTTCATTGATAACTACGGCATATACTATGAAATACTTCCCCTTCCAGCACCCAGATCTGAAGGGCAAAGGATCTATGCGAAGTTCAGGTACTATTATCACCCACTTTCGGAAGCTTCTTCTCCCTGTGAATACTGCAATATGTGGCATGTTGCTATTAGTGTGGCTCTTCACCCCGGTGGAGCCACCTAGCGATGTACAGCCAAAAGTATATTTTGTTCCTGGAGGTGAGTGTTTCTTGTAGCTGTGCCTCTTTGACTATGGCCACAGCCATTTCTTCAGGACAATGGAAGTAACTTAATATCTTGCAGCAATGCTTGGAATTATCATGTTAGCAAAGAAAATGATGGTCTCTGTTGACCTTAAACATCTTGAGGATCTTCGATATGGGTATAAAGGAGTTTAGGGCTTTATGACATAGCTGCTGATCGGCACTAACCATATACAACCAGCACTCATTTTTGTCCTTTCTTCATACCTTCCACCCTCCCTTGTCCGTCTTGTATAGTTGCAACTGACCAGATATTCACAAGGCTTTCTCCATTGTCTTAAACCAACGCGTTGTTTGAGGTTATCCGTGTCTTACACTCCTTCAAATGGTATCACTGCTGGATTATCATGCTAAATAGCCCAATAGCTTCAGCCGCTTCATCGGCCAATAACAAGATTATCAGGGATCAAAAAAATTAGATAGATCTTTCTCAATACAAAATTATCAGGCCCATATCATCATTTCAGGTGTCCTTGTCATGTCTGCAGCGCTTTCTGTCCTTCTCCAGCGAATCTGCACATGTCACTGACTGATGGCTTCCGGCGGAGAGAAGACCCATCTAGTTTTTCCAGTGCAGGATCAACGGGTATTTCGCTATAGTCGTTGAAGTACCCAGCTGCAGGGGAAGCCAATTTGACACTCTCTGGACCCTCGCTCACGGCCTGGGGGAACTCTAGCTCAATACAATTATCAACCAAGGCTTTGTTGCGCTTCTCATCCGCTTCTTTCTGATGCTTTTTCAGTCGACCTTCTTCATCGTCACCAGCCTTCTTCAACCATCGCAGGTTGGACTGACGGAAATCCACCAAACTTTCCACACTGCGCAGATCTGCTACCTTCCTGGTGTCGTGGCCCAATAAAGTGCATGTTGGTTCGTAAGGGTTCATGGTCGGATCTCGACGGCATGCAGCGCAACTGCAAATCTTCTGACATCTAGGACACATCCAGTGATACATCTCCATGGTGTCCTGTGGTTGGATATTAAAGGCTCTGAAGAGACTACCATAGCAGTAACTTAAGTTGCAGTATGAGCATGAGGCGAGCTTCCACATAGGCTCAGCACATTTGCAAATATGGCATCGGCCACCTTTTGTGCATGGATCGCTTTTGTCAGTTTTTCTTCGCTTCCGAATAGGGGTAGCATTCTCAGAGCCACTGTTATTTTCCTCTATTCGCTGACAGACCGGATTTGTGACATCGAACCAGGGGCGGCGTTTCATTTGTTCATGGCATATCTCGGCTAGGGTTTTCCTGCCCAGTTGAGCCCTCTTCGCAGGGAGACATGGGTATTTATCACTCTTAGCCTCGACGAACCTTAGTAATTGCTGCCTCCACTTCTCATACTTTCCGGTCAGTTCACTCCAGCGGAACTGCTCAACCCACTGTAACTTTGATATACAAGCACAGCTTCTGCCCATGGTATAGCACTCCATGCAAATGTCGTATGTATCATCACCCTCACCAATACACCAGGGGCAAGTCAAAAATCTGTTGAATATGTTACCTCGGCAATAGGAGCAAGTGATATTGCTATCGAAAGGAACGTATTCAATATCATCTTTCGGTGGATCATGCAAAAAGCTCTCGGAAAGCAGGATCTGGGTATAAAGTTCAAATAAAAGCTCGAAATCCTCTAGTAGCAACTGCACACGAAGGCCCCAAACGCCGCTGTCGCCCACCTCACTAAGAAGATCAGAATAGTGGTCAAGCGCGTAAAAGACAATGGCCTTATTCTTGTACTGCTCATCGCGGCACACCATTCTAGCATGGGGGAGCGCCTCAAACAGGGCCAATTCTAAAGTTTTTGCAATAGTCCGATTCCATGCTACTTTCATCGTTCTCGTTCCCCGGTTCCACACCTGGTGTGCGGCTAGTGAGGAACCAAGAGAAAATCCCCCGGTCTTTGTTCGACAATATACGTCTTGAACGGAGCCGCTTTCCATGCATTGATCTGGGCAAAGTGGTCCTCGATATCAATATCATGTCCCAGCGTAGACATCCAGTACTCAGCTACGACGTGGCGATCTTTGCTCTCAGTCATGAACCAGATGGAAGATCCTGGCTTAGTTGCTTTCCCGTACTCAACAGACCCATCTGACGCTTCAACCATTATGTTCTGTCCAAGGCTGGCGCACATCTCCTGGTGCGCTGGTGTATAAGTCCCTTCGTGGCCAATGTAGCACATCAGGTTTTCAGCACGCATGAAGGGTGGAAGACAACTCATGAGGTCCCCAGCCTTGGCAATAGGCCTCCCTGAAGCTGATCGAGCTAATAGATCGTCATTTGACGATAATGTCTTTGCCCCGGGGCCTTCGAACATCTCCGGTAACTTGTTTAGGTAGAACAATGGAGGAGGGATGAGCTGTTTGAGGTGGTCATGCCATTGTTGGGGGCAGTCGATATCTTTAAGATAAATCCTCTGGCGATTTGGATCTTTATAGTTATGGGTAGTCCATTGATTCGTAAGCAAATGCATGTTCTTCAAATAATGCCCAATAGTAAGTGGAAGGTCGGTTTTGGTCGTGAGATCCCGAGCAAATTCCGCTTCATATGAAGTACAATCAGACAAAAGGCTGCACACGCAGGGCTGGGAGGGTTACTCACTCTTCATTGAATAGTGGCTCCTCAGCCATTTCTCGGAGAATATGGAATTGTCAAGTCTTTGGTTAAACCCTTCGATAACCAGGGGCTTTCCACCCAGAACAACATGAAGCCACACGAGTTTCTCGAAGTTCTCTAGGCCATTCGCATCAATTGCATCACAGTGAATTCTAGCCACATATTCGAAGTTTGGTGTCGAGTCTACTAAATCCGCAACGTCCAGATCTGGAGAAATGGGCTCAAAGGCAGCCCGTGGCCGTTGAGCAGGCATCCTAGTAACTGCTGAGGAAATAAAAGGTTGGAATAACGACGTAACAGGAAGTTTGGAGCCTCTCCATGCGGGTTCATATAGAGATCACAGTGAATCACCATAAGGTTGGGCAGTCATACATTTTCTAAGATTAGAAAGCCTTATATCGCTCAAACCAACATGATATAGGCTCCTTTACAGTGATCCGGAGCAGTAACAGCGGAGCAACAGCAGGGGTTAAGATGTAATTGTCTCTCACGTCGTAGCTCAAAGAAGTATCTGCCATATCAAGCCCCACAAATACTTGGGGGCGCAGAAGTTGAGGAGCATGACAGAACAAAGAGAGGGAACGCCGATTGGAAGTAGAAATAAAAAGCAAGATTTTGAAGCAGCAAATGGTTCAAGTTCCCACAATCGCGATACACTCTTAAGAGCTTCAGTATGACTGGTCTAGGAGATACCCGCCGCACTTTCCTGTATCCGGTTAGTACCTAATACTATCACTGTGGGTCCTCCCTCCATTAGTGAAGGGAAAAAAGATCGGATTCTGATGACTACATAGAATTCCTAGATCACAAGAGTAGCACACAACTCTTGAAAGACACTGAAACCCTATACAGCTAAAGGGCCGCTGACTTACAGGCTAACATCTGTGAGGATATCCCTGCACCAGCCATTAAAAACGAGTGTAGTTCAGCATTCTAACCCTACTTCGCTCACCAAGATGAACTTCAGTTGACCTACCCACTCAAGCATCGAAGAAAAGCTATTGATGTTTCGCTACAGGTGACTTCTATAGACCATCTGATAGCCTTGGAGAATGCAATTTACTACTCGTGTCGCCATGTATCGGAGTATGCAACCACGCAGTTGCTTCGAAGTAAGAACAGTTTGTCACAACAGGCGTGATTTGCCATATCTTCGATATAGTCTCTCCCCTCGCTTTATTTCGGGCTGTTATACTAGGCAGAGATCTACCCTTCTTGATACACCCAAGCCCACTACTCACGCAGGATCGGCATTAAGAAGGTTCAATTCGCACCTACCGTACTCATCACCTTCAGCTACCAAATCACCCGGTACAGCAGAACGGGCCTCGGTAATTCATTACACTCCACCCAAGACAGGACTTGTTGCCTCTCTCCCCCAGTCTTGGATACCGTACGCCGAACTGATACGACTTGACAAACCTACTGGCACATACTATCTTTTCTTCCCATGCGCATTCTCAACACTTCTTGCGGCGCCTATGGCATCGTCGACCCCTTTGCAAGTCCTTGGGACGATGGGACTGTTTTTAACGGGAGCTTTGATCATGCGAGGCGCCGGCTGTACAATCAATGATTTATGGGATAGGAATTTGGATCCACATGTTGAACGCACCAAGTTTCGGCCAATTGCTAGAAGGGCAGTATCCCCGCGCAAAGCTGTAGTGTTTACTGGGGTGCAGTTGCTGGCGGGTCTGGGCATTCTTCTTCAATTCCCAACGCTGTGTCTTTGGTATGGGATACCTAGTCTGCTTCTTGTGACGACTTACCCTCTCGCAAAGCGCATCACGTACTACCCGCAAGCCGTTCTGGGCCTAACATTTTCGTGGGGGGCGATGATGGGATTTCCTGCGCTGGGAATAGATCTTCTCAGCAACCATTCTGCCTTGGAGTCAGCAGCAGCACTCTATTCTAGCTGCGTTGCTTGGACAATTCTGTACGATATGATCTACGCCCATATGGACATAAAGGATGATGTAGCGGCAGGTATCAAGTCCATCGCTCTTCGTCATGAACACAATACAAAAACCGTTCTTTCTGCTCTAGCAGTTGTCCAAGTGGCGTTGCTTGCTGCAGCCGGCGTGTCGGCTGGCGCTGGACCAGTCTTTTTTATTGGCAGCTGTGGCAGCGCGGCTCTTTCTCTTGGTATGATGATATGGAGGGTTCAGCTAAAAAATGTCCAGAATTGCTGGTGGTGGTTCAAGAATGGTTGTTTGCTCACTGGAGGTGGCATTACCTTGGGGATGTTGTTCGACTATATAGCGCGTGCGACTGATTTGGACGAGAAGGATACCAGATCACCCCAAGTGTTCACAGACGCAACTTCCAAATCCAATGGAGAGGCAGGTGATCGGCCAATATTGTAGCATTAGATCATTATGTTTAGACATATCTGGGATCTCATTGTCGCAAGGGAAGAAAACCTCGCATTAAGTATGTATTGACACGGCGTTAGTTTCTTGCTTGTATCACTCAGTTGTCGGTCCCACTCCAATAACCTAATAACCAGGTCTTGCAGTATTCTTGGAGTAGAGAGGCTCCTCGTAGTGATCCACTTGCGTTCATCCCCTTGCTTCCGATAAGCCGGATTATTGATCATACCTATCACCATTGTAACTGGATTTATCCTAAGGACTTGGCCATAGTGAGACAGATAGACAGTGTACCACTACAGTAGATCATTAGCTACCCCTGGCTAAATTGCGCTAGGCACTCCAAGAGTACATAGTACTACAAGTTGGCAATGTGGTAAGCACTACAAAGTACTTGCTGGTAACAAGGTACTAGGTAACTACTAGTAACTCCCGCCTGTTGGTTGCTGACAAAGCGTGAAAGAACACTGGTTAGTACGACGTTGTTGACCACATGATTGGCTGCTGCTTAGTGAGCCAAGTTTTAGTACTATGACGGACACTGCTCAGCATTTATAATTCCATCAGTAGACCAAGTAACTATCTGCTGTGCTAGTACCTCCAAAAATGTTCTCCAGAGCGGCTTTCTCGTCGGTAAGTTCAGCCCATGTTTACTTATGAATATTACACTCAGTTGATTACTTTTGACCTTTCACAAGCTCACGTAAACTGAGATAGGCATTCCGACCGCTTTCGCGGCCACAGACGCTGCCACTACGACCCTATGGTTTTCAGTTACCGTCTAACCTTTACGCCCGACTACTCTCTTCTGAGACGAAATCGGCAATTGATAAAGCCATTGCATCTGCCCCGGTTGTCCTTTTCATGAAAGGTACCCCCGAGACTCCTCAATGTGGCTTCTCGCGAGCAAGTATCCAGATCTTGGGCTTGCAAGGGGTTGATCCTAAGAAGTTTGTCGCATTCAATGTGCTGGAGGATGCTGAATTGCGTCAGGGTATGTCCTGGCATTGAAACTCGCAGGATTGTTGATGCTTCAAATGGGTTCGCGGTCATTAACCAGTGTTTGTGTTTAGGTATCAAAGAATACTCCGACTGGCCAACCATCCCACAGTTATATTTGGATAAGGAGTTTGTTGGTGGCTGTGATATTCTAATGTCGATGCATCAAAACGGGGAGCTCGCAAAATTGCTTGAAGAAAAGAATGTCCTGGTGGCGGCTGGCTAACTCGAAGCATAGATGCCAGGTTTTAAAAAAAGACTGTGTAGTATATTTGTCTATATAAGCAGTACTACCGGGTAGCTTGTGAGGATCAACTGTTATATCAGCTGTATCATTTTATCTGCGTCGAATCTAGTTAGAGCTGAGAGTATACTGTCTGGCTAGGTGTGGGTATTATAAGTTAATCCTCTTCCCTTCCAGGTTCAGTCTCTATTATGTGAACCCAGGCATACAAATCAATGAACGAGCATTGACAATGCTTACATCTCGCACTTTTGGCAGTGTAGACCAAAGTCGCTTGCCTAATTTATTGAGTCTTCCTTGGCCTTCCTCAGCTCTTCAATGACTCCCTTCTGTAACTTTGCGCGCTGTCTCTCTTCATAAGCCTCACGGCTTTTTAGGATCCTCCCAACTATTTCGCCAGCATTCACATGCTGGAAATCATGACTACCTGTTTCTCTGAAAATGCCCATTCTTTTGGGGGCTGTGTAGGGATCATATGTAAGTGGAATAAATGTGGTAGGCCCATGATAAACAGCATCCGGTACACCTAGAGGCATGGCTCTTAGGTAGGGTTCACTTGGTGAGAAAGGAGCGGAGAATATGACGGCATGGATATACTAGGGGCAGTCAATAAGACGAGTGGGATGATCACCAGCACTGGCAGAGGATAGCATGACTTACACGGCACTGAAGAACACAAAGTCCGCGCTCAAATATGTTCATGATAGGGTAGTTGAAGCCCTTCCAATGATTGATTACACCATCATCATGGATGCCCGCAATGACATAAGCCGGGCCATAATCTTCTCCGTATTCCCTGAGTCTTTTCTCTTTCATTGCAGGGTCGTACCAACCACGCTGACGACCTTCCCTATCCTCGCGTGCCAAAACCTGTCTGAGAAATTCAATATGTCCAGAAGAGAATAGATCAAAGCCTCCATCAACATAAATGATTCTCTGTCCTGGTCTAGACGGCTTCCCGCCTGAAATTGTTTCGAATAATCCAGGCTCTTCCGTAGTATTGTCAAGCTTGGCAGAATTCGAGCCAGCCCAGATCCATACAGGGGAGCCAGGCTGCAAACCAGTCTCGTCAGTGGCATAATCGCGAATTCTTTGCATAAGGTTAGCGGCAGCTGACCGCCGTTCTTCTTGGTTCACAGATCCTTCCTCGCCGGCAAGTGTACCTTTCACATTTTTCACAAAGTGTCCCTTTGTGCACAGGAGCATACGACCGACTAAATCAGTAGTGGAGATTCCAGGGGTCCTTTTGACCACACGAAATCGCCCTGCAGCCTTCACAAATCGATAGCAATCGTCACCGTTGCTATCAGATGTAATATCATCTCCATGGACAACGTATTTGCAGCCATAATGAGACACCCATGGTAATTGCGTCACATACGGAGCATGGGGAACACAACAGGTCACCCAGCGACATGCTTCGACGGCAGAAACACTAAATATACAAGGAATCAGGCCAGGCCGCAAAAAAGATGTTGTGTTAAGCTACTCACCGCTCAGTCAAAGTCATCACAGTTGGGCCTTTGTTCTCAAGTATCGCTTTATCAGAATGCACACCAACATAGAGTTCCTTTCCGAGTCTACGTGCCTGAAGCATGGCACCCGCGTGCCCTGCAATTCTCATCTTATATTAGAGCCCACTCTCAGACCTGTAAGCAGATTTCGCTTCTCACCGTGATGACTGAAGTCAAAGCATCCATCCACCCATATACGGTCTTCAGCAATTGGTACATCATATTGAGGGTCAACTGGCCATTGCCCTGACAGGGGGACAGGATCTTCGTTGGAAGTACTCATTTTTGTTTTTTCTTTTCTTTAGTTTTCTGTAGTGCGGGGTACCAGAAAGACGCGACAAGTACTTGCTATCAGCAACTGATAATTAGCAGAGTGATGGTTATTTATAATTGTCCCCCTTCCATTCTTCAGATGTATTCTTACACCAGGAATAAGTAGATAGGTGGGTGTGAATACAAAATAAGGGGGGCGTCGGTTCAGCGATGGTAATAGACCCTAAAGGGAACTATCAACCTAAAAGTGAGGAAGAGAGGGGCCGAGATTGGACTGGACTGTTCATAGGAAGGCGCGAGGGCCACGGGGTTGCGGAGAATTCCCGTAATACTATTAGTACCTAGGTATGCGTACTAAAGCCGAAAGGTAATTGGTAAATGGAACATGTGTCCTCCGTAGTTACCTGTTCATTTGTTAGTGGTGATTGATGTAAATACCTACACTACTATCTAGTACTAAATCTATGTCCACCTAGCTCGTCACTCCATTATACTCTACAAAATTAATTCCGGACAGAGTATATATATCTCTATCTCTCTATATCAGTAAATCCCAATTGGTCGCTGGCTATATGCGTGATAACTAAAGATCCAAGTAATTTGCTCTGTTCTATGGAGTACCAGCCATGACCTTGTCGAACGAGGCATAGTCTGGTTAAGTAGTGGAGCAATGTAAATCTTATCGGATGTAATTAAATCACATCACATTTATCGGCAAAAGTCTTCGTACGCTCTACTGAAGGTCTATCACTCCAACTTTCTATCCCTAGATGTCAGCAAACTACTAAGCCTGCTTTGTTCGGACGCCAACAGAGGACAGACTTCTGCTTGCCTTGATTTTTCTCCTGTCTCTGTTAGTTCCTCCGTTGAACATGTCGAACATGATCTCGTCCACCTTTGCCCCTACATTGACTCGCAGAGACACTGGCAAATCGAGCATAGGCCACGAGACGACAGTTGGTTCTCTCCCTCCACCGCTAACTAGTGGAGGGGGGTCATTCGGGCCACAGAGCGCTGCAGCAATCTATCAGCATATACATGATATGGCTACGAAGCGAATATCAACCTTACATTACTTGAGAAAGGCGTCAGTTTATTATGACTCTGAGACAAACATGAACTAGGGATGACTCGCTGACGGCTTTTCAGACACGAAGGCCGTATTTACTGGTTCAATACTGTACACTTTTCTCGGGCTGATATCGGTCGAATTCCATACTTCGAAGCCCGCAAGCTTTCTCGCCGTGCGATAAACTACCTTCTCCTGGGCCTATCACTCCCGCCAATTCTAGACGTCAGCTCGACCCCTGTGGAATATCTGCGGGCACTCAATGCACTGTTGAATGAATTCGAAGCATTCCAGCAAGTGCACCCTCCTGATGGAAGCTCCTCATCAACACTTGCTAGAGCACGGATACCACAGATGTTAAAGAGAGCCGCGCATGCGGGAACCAAGACTAGAAGAGCTAGTTCTGCAACTGAAATTGGTCTACCCATGCAGTCTAGCGACCCATCTGAATTAAAGGCCATGACAGGCAACATAACATCGTCTGCTTCGGCAGCAGCCGCTGCCATCTCTTTCCCCAACACTGAAGCGTCGGAGCTTCTCCCTGGCGAGGAATATTCCTACCTCCTAACGCCGTCTTTACCATTTGAACCAGATTATTTTGAAACGTTTGTAACTTTGTGTGACGTGCTGATAGACTGCTATACTCGACTTATATCTTTGGTTCCGACCCCTTCCGTTTGTACTGTTGCACTGGGTGAAATGTTCTCCAAGGCCGATGCTAAGCTTCGAAAGATCATGGTAGCAGGGGTCGTGCGTGAATTCGAGGATGCGAGCCGGATGAATGCAAAGAATGAAATCTCGGGGGTAAGCCGCGTTGTCCTTGGGGGTCTTCTAGGCTAGCTACGGGCACGTCTCAAACGCTTAACCTAAGACGATATCATCTATAAGTGCTCCTACCTAGTATTACCCTGCGGCTGCTTCATTCTGTTATTTATAGCCATTCAGTAACGGCAAAACAAGATATCATTATCTTTTGCCACCCTTCGGGTAACCATGTAATGTATACGTTCCACTATCCCGGAACAGTACAAACTAATAAAGATGACTTTTGAGGGACATATGACTTGTGAGAAACAGTGCGTTATAACCATAAAGCTAGTCATCGCTAGTCAAACAATCCATAAGGAATAAACAAGCAAAGTTAAGCCATGCCCGCCAACAAGGGAAAAGAGAGGAATCATAAGGAACAAAAAAAACGCCAACTTGCACCGTACGCTCGGAAACAATCATAACTGACGCCGGTATATGCAAATGCCCGATTTTATGGTGCTGAACTCCAGTCTTGCAGGGATATAGAACACTGGATAAGTCATGACTGAAGTTTATCGTTCTCACGCTCACGTTGTTCACCAAATACCCGTCGGCTCATCTCAAGAACAGCCTCAAACCCTTCTCGGCCCCTTTTTGCGTTTTGACTGAATCTCTCCACACTTGCCTCTTCTACCTTGTTCTTGATCTTTTGCCACCCGCCACAGAGTGCAGTGATCTTTGCTTCCTGGTTGAAATTCGTGGTACAAGTTGGCTTCGCTGGGGATGGTTGATAGATGACAGTCTCTTGAACATTCAGAACATTGGACCATGTAAGGTTGGACGAGCACATTGTGACTTTCTTTGATTTCGGATCGACGTAGGAAATCTCGTAGACATGCGAGGTAGCGCTTCCTCCGAAAAGAGAAAGAACCCATTGCGGCACCGATTGATCACATGTGATAAGACGCTCTGTACGTAACTGCAATGATACAGCAGTTAGTCGCCGTAACGAACTTTTTATTGCGGTTGATTAAGCAGGACAAGCACATACGATACCAGTTTCTGAGTCGACAGTCCGGGACAATGTATCTACCGCCACAACATGTGTGGACTTGTCATTCCACGGGCAGTACTTGCGCCAGTTCGCCGTTGATACCTCCTCCCAAGAGTAATCGAAAGTACAAGTCGAGGAGAAGACCTTCATTTTGACCGACGGTATTGATGTAAGATTTCCGTGCTGCTTTTGGTTTAGGGGAGGGCGGTAGTATTGGTCTGCAATGGATGAAGCGGCGATATAGGAAGCACGTAGCGCGTAGGGAATCGATGGACTGAGATGACAATAAATGGCTGAAACCAAGCCTCTTTGGCAACGATGCAGGAAGGAGTAAGGTCTAAGAGAGTGTCACAGCACAGGAATTATAAGGGAGTAAAAGACTACGGAGGTGAAGAACAAAGTGAAAATCCTATTCTACAAGATGAGGAATGAACTTGAAGAACAGGCTATCCAGTCTGGACAATGAAAGAGAGTGGCGATCGCAACTCTCGGGTGTGTAATGTCAAATGGCGTGGGCCTTTTTTTTTTT